CAAAGCCAAACATGACACTATATTAAAAAAAAAAATACTGTGAAACATAGTCGGAAAAAAAATGAAAAAATATTTGGGATTGTCATATGAAGGACAAAACAGAATCATAAAAGATAGAATGACAACATATCAGAATAATCCATTTCTCTGATATTCATACACATACCACAGTTTTTTATGTATATATGCTTTTACAAAGCTGGAAATACACAATTAAATCTATATGCAGCAGATGCAATTGCACTAAGGTATTTATGGATTGTTTATATCTTGGCTATTTTCTCTGACACCTGACAAGCTGTGTGAAGTTAATTCCAAACCACACTTCTCTTCAATGAGCACACCAAAGTAGGTTTCTTCTGCTACCAGTTGTAGTCAGAAGTCAGCACATAGATATTAAACCTGCACAAAATGGTTTTGAGACTTTTTTCACTTTTCAACAGATTGCAACCTTCCAAATTTAAAGCAAATAAAACAAAGTATTAGATCGTTTAGCTACACACATCTATATAACACATTTTAAGCATCTTAGGCACTGTCTTTAGTTATTTGAGTATTAATTTAAATTTTCTAACTCCTTTGTTGCTAAGATATAGGAAAGGAGTCATGGCACTTATGAATACCTCTGTTATCTGGGTATTCAAGTATTTGTCTCATCAAAGGTGACTCTCTCACACTTTTTAGAAAGACTAGAAAGAAGATGCTATTTGAATTGCAGTAGGACAAGTTCAGCTTAACTGTCTGCATTAGCATGTAGCAGGACTGTATTTGAGGTAAGACATTTAAACCCTTCATTAGAAAAAAAATTCAATGTAGAAAAAGTAGCAGAATTAAATTATATTTCTTTTTACAGATCACAGAAAAAATTAGGCATAAATGACAGCCAAGGAGCAAGACTACATAAGACAAAACTAAAGCTGTTTTAAAAGGCTGCCATTTATTCCTTCAAAATCTATTCACCCCAGGTCTTCTGGCATTTTTGGGGAACAAACACTTTTCATCATCATACACATGCAGTGATGCCCAGAGGTGCACACTGTAGCACTCACTCTTAATCCACTGCCCCCTGCACTTTTCCAGCCACCTCTCCACCCCAAGGTTTATGCATCATCCAGACCTCTGGCTCTGAAAAGCTCTTGGATTCACCTTTTTGTACTTGCGCTCCACTTCTTTACCCTAGGCATTGAATGGCAAGATCTCACCTTGACGGTAAAGAGCCACGTGGGCCTAGTTTGCACTCTGAGCTAACTGCATAACGTAAAGTGGAAAAGCACTCCCTGGAGCAACAAACAAGTTCATGGGATGGCTCAAGGCAGGTTCACCCCTGATGTGTCATTTTTGCAGGGAGACACTGGCACACCTTTTCTTCATGCGTGCCATGCTGCAGCCCCTCCGGCAACATTTCTCTCACCTATTTTTACCCTTTCTTATTCAAGACCACACCAAGTCCTGAGACTTACCCATCAACATCCATAAGCCCTGGCCAAAACTGCAGTCCATGGCCCTTGGAGATGCAAGCTTGACAGGTGACCCATTTTCAATTCCTTGTCCCACCACACCTCTAGGAAGTGCACCCTGGCCATCATACACCAGCTCTGCAGGCACTTTCAGGATGTGCTGAGTGCTATTGGAGATGTTCTGCACTAGTTCCTACTTCCCTATTATTTTCTTGTTTTGTGCATTTTTGTCCCTCAGCCCCCTTCCTTCTCTCATTTGTCATCCACTGCAATTATTATGTTTTGTCTTTCTGTACCTCACCCTCTGTTTTATTCTTCTAATTGTTTTTAAACCAGAGACATATTAAGGCTTCTAGAATGTTCTGGTTTCTCTGCAATAAATAAAAATCAATAGAAGCAGTGGCCATGAGGGGCAGGGGTGCTGCCCCTGCACATCTGTGGGGCAATGAGACAGGATGTCTGATCCTGCAGTACTGCTCCTGTGCTGCCTTCTATGCCCCAGGGGAGATGTGTACAGCACACTGTACCACCAGTGCCACCACTGCATCATCTCTGCTGCCATCATTCCCACCACTGCTGCTGCTATCCCAGTCCCCTCTGCCCCAGAATGTGTGGGGCTGCAGCAGGGCACCACTGCCCACACCTGGCAGCCAGACCCACAGGAGGTGAAGGGTGGGAAGGGCTGTTTGATGGCACCAGCTGCTATTCCTGGGATAAGGATGAGCAACCTTGGGCAGATCTGCTGTCTGTGGCCAATTTCAATCTGCAAGCATGCTCTAGGGAAGTCTGCGAAGTACTGTTACAAATTACATATCAAGTTTGTGCACACAAAAAAACAGCCCCAACAAACCAAACCCCAAATAGGTCAGTAATATATAATGAAGCTTCCAGATAGAAGTGGCACGTTTGTCACACTGAAATCACTATTGATGCCAAGAGGGACTTCTGTAACAAAAAGCCATATGAAATAAGGCAACTTTAGAAAAGACATGCATGCAATGAATACTACTTTTTCTTCCTTACAGCTTCAGTTTGTAGTTAACTATTGTTCAGTTTATTGCTTCTGTAGTCACTGCTGTTAAATGTATCACATACATGTAATTTGCCATGCAGAATTCCCACATAAAGAATAAGAGGAAAACAAGACAACTTCCCTTATCCTAATTCACACAGGTAAAGAATTCTAAATATTAATAAATCTTTTCCTTAATGTAATCAATGTCTGGAGTTCTATACAGTCCTGTGGTAATAGGGAGCAAAAAACAGGAAAAGCTCTAATGATTATACATTAATATGCACTTTGAGCATTATCATAGGAAGAAGAGGTCACTGGGAAGACACTGTGTACCAGACCAAATATATACAATGGAGCCTTTTTAATAGTATCACTGCTTCCAAACTGCAAACATCCTATGCTAGATTTACTTACCTGGAGAAAACACTGCCCCCAGACAGACCTCACTTCCGCCAGCACCTCTTAGGTGCAGAATACCACCACCAGTCCCAATCTACCAGTTTTCACTTGACAAAACTAGTCAAGATGACACGTTTGGACCTGGCTACAAATCAGTGTGGCAAAAAAACCCTCCACACCAGTGCCGCCCCTTTAGTTCAACACAAGTGTTGTACAAAAAAGTAGACCTAAGTCCAACCCAAACTTCATTGAGAGTTCAGCCAGCTTCACTCAGAAGTGAGTTGAACCTCCAGAAGTCTAGACATCAGTCTCTGAAGTCAGTGGTTCTGACTAAAAAGAAAATGTGTTTTATTCTCAGTAACTGAAAAACTAACTGCAGAGATTAAAGAAACAAAGTTGTTAAATTCTTAGTATAACAATTTCTGATATTTTTATATACTGTGAACTCCAAAATCCTGAAGGAATGTGTTCATTATGAGCTTATATAGTCACAGTACACAATCTGAAGCTGTTTTCTAGGATGTGTAATTCTAAATGCATTCAGTTTAAACAGATATTACTTCTTGGATCTTTATTGATATTAAAAGAAGTATATAAAATCATATGGAAAAAAAGCAAACAATGAATGCTCCAAAGCTATATACAATATAAATGCATGAATCTTTAAACATTAAACCACCAGCATTCTCTCACATTATATTTCAGTAGAGAGACAATGTCCTCTTCAAATAAGATACCACAATCATATTTTTAAACAGTGCAAGAGAGCAGAAAGAAAACAGCAAGGTTTGCTCTGCTCTCCAAGGACAGGTATTGACATACTTTTAAACTGAGGCAATCAAAGAGTCACGGGTATTCACTTTAAGGTACGTTTTGCAAGCCCTTTTGCAAAAATATAATCCTCTTTCAGAAGTTACCAGGTCCTTATACGCAAGTCTTTTAGGTCCTGACTCAAATACCACTGAGACTGATGGCTGTTGAACACTACCCTCAGATGGAAGCAAACAATTTTACTGAATTAGCTTAAAAAAAAAATTAATAAAAAAAGTAATTCTCTATTTATAAAACAATTAGAAATTTTAAAGAAAAGTTACTGTGTGAAGATCCATTAATAAATTCAATCCTTTACATCATGCACCAATGTAATCCATTTTTTGGCTTAAAATCCAACAAAAAAAAAATGGGTTAATTGCTGTGGAGAAGGAATCAAACATTTTCATTTATGGCTAAAATAAATAATAAATGCTCGGATAAAGGAAGAAAGACAATTTCATTTAATTTAAGGCTGCCAATTACACTGCAAGATTTTGTCTTTTAGAGCCTGAAGCACAGTCCAACAGCCACCCACTTGCTATAAATCCCTTAAGCACACATTTATAATAACTGGGAGGAAAAACTTGGGGTCCAACTCTGTTTCTTCCTATTCTGACAAGCAGTGGAAATGGAAGTGTTACTTTTTAATTTGTTTTCAGTGGTTTTCTGCTTTTTTTTTTTCCTTTTCTTTTCTAGAAGTTCAGAAGACACCAATAAGATCAACTTGATCAGAAGTTTAAGACTGACATTTACAATACAACAATTTGGTGTTTCTGAATTCCCAGAGGCTGAACTAGTTCTGGCAGTGACTTCTGGTAACCTGTTCTTCTACTAGGGCACAAACATGCACTCACACACACACACACTTGTCAGAAAAAGAAAAAAATTAGATTAAAAATACCTCTGTGCTTAACTTGGTTTAAGCTGCTTACTGCCTGTTGACATACCACTGTTGCTTGGCCTGGGTCATATTTAGCATCTAAAACCTTCCTCTAATGAATAAGATTTCAATGCATGGTCTATTACAAGGCTGTCCTAGAGATGCAGAAGACAGGACTAGCCCAGCTCTTGCCGCTTGCACCCTGAAAGATGGAGGCCCACCTGCATCATCCATTTTCAGAAACCCTTAAAGTTAAGTTAGTACCAGACCTGCCATCAGTCAGTGATGGAAGGAGAAGCACGGGCACCTCACAAGTTGGAATGAGGGAATTGCAAACCAGGGATACTTTACCAGAGGGGTTCTTTACCTCTCATACCAGCTGCAGCTAGCTTTAGCCCAAGCTGCAGAGAGCCAAGCGGCAGTCCAGCTTTCCTACCTGTCAGCACTGAGCGCGGTGAGGGTGAAGACAGAGACACCAACAGAGGTGAGCTGGATGGCAGGGATGAGCTTGCAGCCCACCTCCCCAAAGAGCCACTCCTCGGAAAAATACCGAGAGGCATCCACAGGCACACAGGTCACTAGCAGCAGCAGATCACCAGCAGCAAGGCTGGAGATAAAAATGTTGGGCACACTCCTCATGGCGCTGTTGGAGATGAAGATCTTCATGAGGGTGATGTTGCCCAGCAAGCCCATGGTGATGATGAGCAGGTAAAGTGAAGGGATCACACAGCGGACAATAAACATGGCTGTGCCCCTGCCTTGGGACTGCAGGGCTGTGTCTGGCACCATCTGCGTGCTCCCATTGCCCCCGAGGGGCATCGCTGGGAGCTCAGGCAGCAGCTCTGTCTCCATTCTCCAAGCTTCAGGCAGACTGAGAGGTCTCCAGTGCAAAGTGCTGTGGGAGCCACGGGAAACCTTCACCTCTCTGCAAGTCAATCAACTTTCTCCCCCTCCCCTCCTGCCTTTCTTCCTCCCCCTCTTCCTCTGCCGAGTTTTCTCCCCTCACAAACGCACAGGAAGGCAGCACTGTCCGCCGGCGAAGTGCGAGGGTTAAAATTCCCGCACCGCTCCCCTTCAGCTCTCTGGAGGATCCCTCTCCCGGGTGAGCAGGAGGGAGCGATCCTGCGCCTCGGAGGCAGCCACCGCCATGCGGACAGGAGCCTGAGCGGACAGGAGCGGACAGGAGAGCAGACGACCCAGGCGGAGAGAGGGCGGGCCCGGCGCTGTCCAGCGGCGCAGGTGCTGCTCGCCCCGCGGCTGCTGACTGCGGAGTCGGAGCAGGGGACGAGGCGCAGACCCAGCCTGCAGTTTACTCCGCAGCTCGGATTTATACCTGGCGCTGGGAGGAGGCGCCCCGCCTCTCCTCCGGCAACCGCTTGTGCCCTCGCCCCCAGCGCCGAGGCGGATCTTGCGCGGGGGCGACACGCGGAGGCGGGACGCGGATCTCGGCGCCGCTGCCGGCACCCCGCAGGGTCCCAGCCCTGAGCGCGGTGGGGTCGGGAGGGAGCTCTCCCCTCGCCGCTGCCCTCCGCACGCAGTCCCCCGAGAGGCGCTGTTTGGCACACGGGAGAACTGTCCGCCACGTGGGATCGCCTCCGGGATAGCTGTCTTCCAGCATCTGACCCAGGTGAAACCACCGCGGTTTGAAGTGAAGAGTGACAGGGAGTGAGATGAAGAGATTTTACTCCTCTCATCCAGCTGTGGGCTCTGAATAGATCCTACTCAAAGACATTGGCTGCCTTTAAATTTTGACGGATTGATTTGGTAAGCTGCATTTCACATGAGTCTTGACTACAGAAATGGGGACAGCTGATGTGTTTTATCTACAACTTATTTCTCAAACAGTGTAATACAGTGGAAAATAAACAGTCTGCCTCTATGAAATGCAGCATTTGTCCCTAGTGTTTCTTGCTTTTCACTGAGGTAGTATCTCTTACTTTCTAGTGTCTGCACATGTATAGGCTTTCCAACAGCTCCCTCTGTTTCCAGCAGAAGCCATGAATGTAGGAAGCACTGCAATTATTCTGAAAGAGAAGCAGACCTACCAGATTGAAGTTCTTTTCCTCCCTCTTCTTCAGAGGGAAGATATATGAGCTTGCAGTGAATTTGCTTGTTCTTATTATTAAAACAGCTCTCTTGAGGCCCTACAGACTTACGACAAATGTATGGAGAAAGCAAATGAATGCCAAGGTCTTGCTGAAGTGAGAGAAAGAACCTGACCACTGAAATGCCAGAAATAAAGCATGTCACATGTGCAGTGAGAAGTAGCCTGCCCATGACATGCTGCCCAGTGTAGGAATTGAATTTAAGACATCAGCAATTTATCTTAAATAACCTTTTACTATCAAACAGGAAATATTATAGCTTCTTAAAAGTTACACCTCTCTGTACCTATTGATCGATCTTTGTGACTTTTCTCACTTCTCTGAATATATAAATGTGTTAAAGTTGTGTAATATTGATTCATATAATGCTGGTGAGTTTATTAGAAACCCCAGCCAGTGCTAGTCCTCAGAAACAATCAGGCTAGAGATTTACCACAAGGTGGCTGATGGGAATTGCCCCAGAGCTCCTCTGGAAGTGGTTCTTGTTACTGATCAAGTTTCCTCTCCACAGTGTTAAATCCAACTACATTCCCTCCGAGGCAGCCTTACTGCTGTCTTGGGTATTTATCTAAATTGATGGGACTCTCTACTTTGCTGAGTACCTTTCCAAGACCATCAATATTCATCTTTCTACAAACAGTCCAAGCCAGTCTTTTTGGTTCCCATTGTTTGGATCCAACACTGTGGCTCCAGGGTATGGTCCTTTCACAAATTTATTTGAAAATGGGTTTATATGTGAACAATCGATATGATTTCCATTGGGAGAATAAAGTCAAAATGCCTTTAATATTGATTTATCTGGGACAAAAGGAAGCTGAGTCTTTTTGCATGAATATCAACAAAAAAACACTTTAAAAGCTTCCACTGGCATAAACTTCTTGCAGATTGCATGGAGATAGGTAAGACCCCTGGCTTTTTGTTGCACATCACCACTCTCCTACTGCTGCCCTGCAGGAGAATTTCTTCTATACTAGTCAGTTTCACTTGTCCTTTAGTCCACAAGATGGAATTCCTAAGGTTGAGGAATTAGGAACATATTCAGTGGGAATTTATGTTTCTGATTTTTACCAGCACTTGATTTTATCTACTTTCTATTTTCAAAACTCTGATCAGCAAGGAAATAAGCTTTGGAGACTGTGAGTGTCTCCAACTCAAAGGAAACAGAAAGTTAGATTATGCTTCTAATGCCATTCAACAGACGTCTGTGTAAAGACAAGGGAACATACTTAAATAGCATGAATATAATTTCCTGCAGAGGCAAAAAGGAGAGGGAAAGATCCATAGAACCCGAGATAAACCAGCTGGAATTCAGACTCCCATGTATAAACTGTTCATCATTCTCTTTTCAAACAAAAGAATCCACCCATTTCTTTGGATGTTATTTCAGATTACAGTCTAGACACAACCTCACCTGCAGATGTGACATAGTACTTGGCACATGAGCAATGACGAGTGTCACGGGTAACTGTGGGCAGTGGGAAAGAAACTGTGCACAGGCTGAAATCGGCCCACACAGACAGAGCATATCTGGGAGTGCAACACCACAGTCCAGGCACTGCAACAACCGGGAAACGTGGGAAGCAAACCTGCTTTATCAGTAACTCCCAGACGCAGGGATGCAAAAATCAGTACGTGCAGAAGTGAGGAACTCCATGCATCTCACAAACGCCCTCTACCGAGAACTGCTTCTGGAAAGGGAAAAAGGCTTCCATGTGTGTGTTCAGCTCAAGGTGCTTGGTAACTACAGGGCTAGTTCCAGATTTGCACATCACAACAAACTTGGTGTAGTCCCATGAAAATCCAACCATATCTGCCACAAATACTACCTGTAATAAGTAGCCTTTAACTATATATGAGTGCTTGCAAACTAAATGAGAACTGTGCTCAAATGCAGCCTTGGTAGTGGTCATCTTTAAAGGCCTGTTCATCAGTCATGAATTAAAAAGAAATAAAGCAACAGACAAGGAGAAAATAGTATTTGAGCATCAGGAACCAAACCTTAGAGAAATTTTTGTAGTATCATGCATTAAACCAGCAGATACACCTGGAAAAAGTGGATATACATTGCAGCAGAAAGTGACTTTTCCCAGACAGTCAAATGTACAATAATCTAAAGTAAGTCACGTCTTCCTTCTTGTTACTTGAATCCAAACTTCCTTAATTTTGTAGAGTTGTTTTGTTGGTTTTTGTTTGTTTGTTTTTTTGTGGCAGAGACTTCCATTACCTTTCAGCTTCTTGTGTCAGGGGCTCAATTAAAAGGACAAAGTACAGAAACATATCACTGCCCCATCACCAGGTTTCAGAACAGGTAACAAGGCTTGCTGCTGCTAGTATGTGGGTGGCTGAAAGTGGTCCAAGAAGCAGCTGAGAAAAGTAGGCAGAGTTGGAGAAAGGAGGGGATGGAGATAAGGGCTCTCTACCTGGGTATAAACCACTCCATATTGTGGAGCCTACAAGGAGGAAAGTGTTCAGCTTCTAATGACATATCTCTAAGGCCAGACCTTAAGCTCCCAGGTTAGATACCTCAACATCAAAACTCTGACTCTTTTCTAGTAAAATAACACTGAAAGTTAATTATGGCTGCACCTGGATGAGCTCTAAGAAGCAGCTAACAATAAAAAATATGTCAGATGTTTGCCTTGCAGCCTTTTCCACCTCAAGACTCAAGGGAACAGAAGAGGTAGCTACACTCTGTGGTCAGATCTGAGCTCTGTCTGACAGCAGTACTCTGTCTTTGGAGCGCTGGGCTGCAAGCAGTAGTTTATGATTTCCCAGGCCTGGAAAATCTGCAACAAACACCAGTATGGAAATTCCTCTCCGTTAAGTCTGAGTGACTGGACATGATGACTGTACAAAAGAATGCTAGAGTGATTAATCATGCCTATTTCATAATTTTTCAAAACATGCTTTTTAGATTAAACAGATTTTGCATTAATAAAGAAATAAAAAGTCAGGAAGAAGCTTTATGTATGATACACATCTCCCCAGACTGAGTGCCATGGCTGAGCACATATCCTTGTGCAACAATCCCAGGTTCTCAACTTCCAGGCTTTGCATCCTGCTCACTACTCTTCATGCTAAACCTAAGCCAGAAGGCAGGCAGAAGGACCTGAGGAATTTATCTGCCTCCTAAGGCTCCCACCTTAGCTGAAGGTGAGACAACCCGCACTTCAGGTCCAAATTGCACTGGAGACTCCTGTGTGGTGGCCTCCAATGGGCCTAAGTTTCAACATGGGGAATTCTGCAAGCCAAAATGGAAATTCAGGTGCTTCCAGGCAAATCTGGAAAGCCTGCAGAAGAATCTGCTCTCTGCAAAGTCTCTTTTGGCAGACAAAAACTTATCTTGCTGATACCAGTTTATTTTTCCTGCCGTTTCATTTTGTGCCATTTTCATGGTGCCATTTTTTCATGACCCAAGAATAACTGGTGCCATTATATTTAACCATTTAACCATAATTAAGAAAGCAATGAACTGGGTGCATAACATTAGACATTCAGTTCATCCCTCTAAGCACAAGTGCATCCTTATGCATGCATTTAGTTTAAATTTGTTTAGCTCTGATTATACAGTAGGGCTTCAACTCACTAAAAGTTTAATGAGCACACTGCTGACTTGCAATCTTGAGCTGAAAGCCAGGTTTAGGACTCACTTCAAAATAAGTGTGATATCAACAGTTCCTTCTCAGTTGTCCATGTCAGACAACTATCAGACAGCTGCTTCTGCAGATTCAAAGCAAATAATGATTTTCTGTCAAGAAATTCCCAAGAACAGCCTGAGTTGCCTCAACAGGCTGCATTCAAAAGGACTGCACAATGCCAGCTTACTCTGTTCCCATCTCAAGTTATCCTCTTAATGTGGTGTCATGAAGCACATTATCGAACACATATGACAAAAGAAAACCCGTGCTATTTGTTCCTTCTAGTGCGAAGATAATGGGCGTCCTGTGCTTCAGCTCACATGACCTATATTGAGCCACTTCAAAGAAACCAACAGTTTTATTGTGGGCCCATTCATCACATTCAGTGGGGTTTGAGTGCAGACATCCATGGGGTTCGTACTGGGTTTATCTGACAACATCACCAGAATTCATTTCTTATTTCAATGCAGCTGTATTCCTCATGAATTCCCAGAACTAAAGCAGAGCATTGCCCGCTAACTCTTATTTTAGCATTTTTACCACAGGACAGAAATTTAAGTTTCCATAATGTTACTGAGGTCATACAGTGAATTATTTGATTGTCTTAGATTAGATAATCCTGTCAGCTAAGTAATTACATTATCCCCACCTAACAATAAAAACATATAAAGTAGCATTTGTATAGTGCAGCTTTTTAATCTAGAATGTGTTCATAAATGCTGTTTCTATCTATAGTAAAATCAAATTTCTTGATCAAACCTGCTGTTTCTTGTAGGTACATGCTCATCAATTAATGTGAAAATAATCTATACTATACCAAGCATAATAAATAGCACTAAAATACCTATCTCAGTTTAGAAACTAGGAGTTATTCAGTTTTCACCATATTGCCTTTTTAAACACTTCTGCTTAAAGAGATCACAGGAAATACAAATGCAAGTATTATTTGAAGTACATTCAATGGTAGGTTTTCAATAGCAATTCACATTTTAGAAGAATTAAATTATTAAAATATTACTGATACTAAACATCTGTCAAGCATACTGAGATAATTTAGTAATTTCATAGTATTGTAGGAGCATTAAAAATTGCTTTTGGATGATACCTAAGCTCCATATGTATTATGACAAGAATGAAAACAATTCACTGTGATCACAATTACTGCATTTTTGTGAAGGTTAGTCACACATCCTGAGAATGCCAGCATTTTATTGCAGAACACATATGACTGAGATATTGTTGCTTTTAGTTCATTCAATACATACAAACCTCAGCACTTTCTCTAAGCAGTGGAGAAAATGCATCAAGAAAAGTTTAGAAACCCAGCCTCAGTGTTACTAACACAGCACCTTTCACAGTACTCCAGGAAATAAACAGACATTAATTAACTACCTGAAAAGTAAGCTGTACTAAATAACAGACATTGAAGCACTTTTCGCATTCTTTATTATCTATCTGCTTCAGCAGATGCAGGATCCCCTTAGATGTAAAGTTCCCTTACAAAGGGTGTTCTGATGCATAACAACAGTTACTCTAACCATGCCAGCAATACAATCACTGTGGTACCTTTTAGAGCCACAGCAGCTAAATCAACACATAAAATGAACCCCAATTCCCATCTCTTCTCTACTTCTTCCCATGTTTGACTGCTACTGCTAAACCCAGGACACCATGCCTATGAGCATACATCACAGAGGGGGCAATACTTCTTGTTACACCAGCTTGAAGCCACACTGCAGTTACAAGGAAGAGTGTCTCATGAGTTCCAACCGCTAGGTTCCAACCAACATGTTGAAGCACAACTTTCCTGTGGGTGTTTACCAGCTGGATCATCAGGCACATGCGTGAGCTTGCGTATGTAGCTCTTCTTTCAACTGTGCATATGGAGTATTCTGGCAAGTTATTAATAGCAATCATTGCCATTAAGTTATTTGTAGCAATACCAGAGTGGTTAATATTATTTTATTCTATTGCTGCTATTTCTTTGAATTCAGAATCTTGGACTAACAGCTTCCAAGTTTGGTTGCATACTTACTCTTTATGTGACTTAGTTAAAATAAGTTATTAAACTGTAGATGGTGTAAATTGAACCTGTCAGCAGCCCAGGAAGCTGGCGCTATGCCCTGGTTGGTGGAGTCCCAGCTCTCCAGGACCGGGAAAGAGACAGCAGGGAACCAGGCTGGGGTGATGGGCTGTACAGTGGGTACCACAAAGTGGGGTGAAAGGCTGGTATAAGGCAGCAGGTCACGGGCAAAGAAGAGCCCAGCAATGGCATGACAGTGGTGGCCAGCACTGATGGAGATGCTGGCTAGGGATTACCCTTGTGGATGGGGCCCTCAGTGGCTTGGTTTGGTGGTGGTCTTGGCAGTTCTGGGGTAATGGTTGGACGATGATCTTAAAGGTCTTTTCCAATCTGGTTGATTCTATGATTCTATGCAAGCATCCAGCACTGGCAGGCTGCACTTCTGCTGTGTCCGCTCTCTGCCTGAGGGCCAGGTGACATGACCCCAAGCACAGGCTGGAGGGGGTTGTGAGTAGGCTGATGCCTTCCTGCAATGTCTCTGAGTGGGATACAAGGCCCACTGAAAGAAAGAAAAAGCACCCTTCCTGGGTGCTAGAAATGCCTCTTCAGGGAAGTCAAAAGTTAATTTGCAAGAATAAGTATCATTAGCTTTGATAATGGCACTGCCATTGTCTGACAATAAATAAATCAATAAACGAATACAACAGCAAAGTAAATGAATACAACAGCAAAACAAATGGACTTTTGGTCAGGGCATCCAGCTCTGTCTGGTGCATTCTGCAACAGCAGAATACAGAGGCAGTGAAACAAATCAACTGTAGGTGCCAGTCAAATAAATATTTATCAAAAATTAGTAGCAATGATAGTGTTCTAAGCCATTATTTTGTTAGAAAACTACTGCAGCCTTCAGAGGTAAACTCTCTCCTATGAAAACAAGTAGAATAAAATAAATGTTTTGGATAATGAAAAAGAGCAAGTAGGCCTCCAACAATAACACTGTTCAGTTTTCTTTTCATGTTGAATAACCCTGTGATTTTCAGCTCAGGCCACCAATGGTAATTGGCCAATTCCACACTCTTTTCTTTGGTTCAGTTTATATGTTACTCCTTGGCATTTGGGGCTTTGCTGTTCATGGAAATGAGGCCTTGCATTTCAGCTATGACCCAGACAAGACAGGTTAATCTTTTCTGTTACTAGCTCAGGCCTATAACTCTTGAGACAATCCTTTTTTTTAAAAAAAAAAATTATTGTAGACATCCAATGTTAAGAAAATAAACCGCAAAAATTAAACATAATTGTTCCATTAAGGAAGTAGTAACTGACTGAGTTAATTAATTATCACTTAGCTTTTTCATTTATATTTTTCTTCTAATAACCTTTCATCTGTGACTAAATAGGGATCTGTGCTGTCTACCCTTCATAGCAACAATCCTCATGTTTCAGAAAACAACTGAAATTTTCAAATTAAAACATAGAACTGATTTTTACATTTATTGTCATCCATTTATACTTATGACATATATTAAAAACAGAGTTGCAAAATGTTCTAATATGTGCACATTTTAGCTGTCCTGGTGCAGTTGCAAATGATCTGACAACTACTTTTCTGCCGTATTTTAGGTATTCAGGGCGTAAGAACTGGTGATTGTACTGGTACCTGGAGTACCCTTTTCACGTTCATGCTGCATGTAAGAGCATCAAACAGGAAGATATCTACCAAAAGTAATTCTACGCTGTTTTTTGTATCTTCTCTGCTTTCTCAAGGATTATCCTTGAAGCTGTCTGTGGCTTTGGCTTCAAATTCAGCTCTCTGGTTTCAGAGAGAATGCAATCTACCTGCATGATGTGGGAGCGCTTGAAAAAAAGTTCAACATTACTCAGTATGTGGGACCAAAGCACTTTGCAAAGACCATTTTTCTTATTGCAATGTACACATTTACTGTGATTACAGTGGTTTTTGTTGGCAAAATTTTTGAGATCTCATGTAAAAGGCTAGGTTTGTCAAGAACTGTCACTCCCAGTCATTTACTAACTTGTTCGCCTGCAGTTTTATAACAAAAAACATCTCCTGTCTTCTATGCAGTGTTGCAGAAGAGAACCACCGTCATTATTACTGCTTGAGTAGTTATCTGACACTTATCCTCATCTAAAAACTTCCACATTGTGTAAATAAACTTTGTTTCCATGGCAAACCAAAGTCAAAAAGATGAGAGTAACATGTTTTCATGACCTGCCACATTTAATAGTTTGACCCCAGAGGAGTATCTGTGTGTGAACAGGAGGTTATTTATAAACGTATTTCTAGTCACAGCTTTCCCAAACATGTGCAATTGGAGTGAATCATGTTATTGACCTTCCAAGTAAAACTATTCCCAATTTCTCACATGTTCTTATGGCTTGAGAACTAAGCAGTAATTGTGGATAAACTTGGTACCAGAAAGCATCCAAACATTTTCCCAAGCAGTGCCACGGCTGCAACCTGCATCTCAGACCCCAAGGCAGAGACTCCTGCTCAGGCTGTGGTGACAACATATTCATCCAGACCAGCTTACTCTGTGGCAGTCTAGCTAGTGTCACCTCCTAGATGTGAATCTCCTATTAAAAATGAAAGACTAGCATGGTATTTTTTGTGCTGACTGGAATGCCTTACCTGCCTTATGTTTTAGCTTCTGATGCAGAAGACTTCTGTCACTTTTGTATGATCACATTCTGAAGGAGTAAAAGGGCTTTATGACTTAGTTTTGCATAAGAGGCTTGGAAGCATCAAATGAAAATCTCAGAGAAAAGCCTTTTTTGGGTACAGTCAAGCCTCAACTTCAGTAAGTTTTGCTTGTGTGCGACTGCAGAATTGGGCCAACAGAATTTTTTGCTCTGTGTATCACATCTAACTTCCTATTGCTCTGACTAAAGCTGGTAGGATAGCAGTTAAAAATAAGTCTGCATACTAGAATTATTCCATGCAATAAGTGTATCTGGATAGGTTAGGTCTTGAACCTTATATATGTATCAGATGTTTTTGTGTGCAACAGTTTCTTCTTAAGGACTAGCAGACATATTAAACTTAGAAGTGATTTCATTCCCTGTGCTGATGTGAGGTAATGGCAAAAAAAAAAAAAGTATTTCAGAAGTGGAAAGAAAGGAGGAGGTAGTTTCCTGTATAAAATATGCACAAATAGCAATCATAACAACTAGCTATTTTCCATCTCCAAATACCCTCAATTTCTGGAAAAAAAAATAAATTGGAGGTTTCTTCCTCTTGCTTTTTCATAATTTTCTATGGTGGTGTGGCTTAAATGTTTTATATGGCTACTAAACTGAACAACTTCTGTTCTTAATCTCAGTTGAAACAGGAGACTCAGGCTCATCACTATTTAGCAGTGATCCAGGAACCAGCAAAGTAAAAAGGAATCGTCCAAAAGGAATTGGACACAGTGTGACATCTGTAACACTGAAGGGAAGAACATCTTTGCTTCTTGAATTAAGCTTAATTTATGTGAAAAAAAACATTCAGTATGAAAGCAGAAGTTGACAGCCTGGTGACAGTGTTTGTGTTCTTTCAGGAACATTTGTGAAATTCTGGAAAAAGATTGCCACAAAATCTGTCAGCACTATTGTTAGTTAAACAGCCCCAAACAAGGCTGGGTTACAATAGCCATGTAATCCTCAAAGCAATAGCCATGTAATCCTCATAAACCCACAGAAGTAGTCCTTGTTACACAACTGCATGATTTAGGTGTCTTGGATTTGATTGATTGTGTGTGGGCCATCTGATTCAAAGTGCATCACAACTAGATGCGTGATTTTTTTAATATGCTGATCAAGAACAAAATGATAAATTTTAATACATTCATTATACTAAAGCATTAATGTTATTTTTCCCCTATGGAAATAAATTAGATGTTGTTTCAAATGCATGTCAAGTCAACACTGTTAGATTTGTGCAATACTAAACTAGTTATGATACTTGCAAGCACTCCAAATGGAGTAAGAATCACTGTAGGAACTTCTTGTTTACATAACGTGCTGTGTTCTTTGGTCAATACATGTTTAATTCTTTGTTCTGTACACCGGTATCCATCTGGAATTATTCTTTGCAATTTAAACTTGTAAAAATGTGTTTTAGGTGAGTTTATTTATAAATAAAATACAAAATATATACAACTGCTAGAAAGAAGAATTTATTTCCATGTGCTAGGTACAGTCATGACCAACTGTATTCAAATCACACTTCATCAGATGTTTGCAAAATAATAACTTCATTACAACTTTCTCAGTATTTTCCCTGGTGCTTAATATTTCCATTGCTTGTTGTACTTGTTCTGTAGATTCCAAAATACTTTGGAAAGGTCAGAGGAGTTCAGAACCCTTAGCACCTCAGGGGACTTCCCTGTCAGCATCAAGAGCCTTGCAGAGCCATGACTGGCACAGGACTACCTGGGGAGGCTCTAGGAGCTAGATGACCCACCACAATTCCCTCTCTGTCGGTGGTCAAAATCTGGAATATATTAAAACATGAGGTACATTTTTCTTCCAAGTGAGGTACAATGGAGATTTTTTTCTTGAATATCCTGTGAAATTAAAACTCAAATTCCTCAGTTTCAGTTTTCCATTTAAAACTGGAATGTGCATTATTGACTTTTATTTGCAAATGCTTTTCTGTGACTGATTCTGTCAGTAGTTTCAGGAACACGTTAATGGAGATTTATGTCCACATAAAGAAACCATTTCCCCATGGCTGTCAAAACTTCCCTTTCCTGTATTTGCCATTTGTTTTCCTAGCACTCACTGAAATCTCAAGAGCCTCTAAACTTTTCTTTCCCCCAGTCTTCCAAACTTCCACCACTTTTATCCTCATTTACTATCAGCTTCCTTCCACTCTTACTCCCTCTGAGATTTATAACACGTCTGCACGTGTTCCTCAGTATTGCACTGATTTTAGCTCAAATGCTTAGCAAATCTTTGGGATGATCCTGAAGGCTGCTTTTTACTATCATGAAAGGAATTATACAATACACCTGGGGAGTCTTTGATTTCATTCTATTTCTTTACACAGTGAACACAAAGTCCTGTCTCCCACAACACAGTAGGAAGTCCTTTTGTTACCTACATCAGGGTCACATTATAAGTGCTTCTCTGACTTCTTCACTGTTTTCCACCATACTCCAGCCACCTCATTTTCACAGACAGCACTCAAAGGAATTCCCAGCTCATGCATTTGTAATCAGTTTTGTCTCTAGCCAGATATCATGCCCATTTCAGTTCCCACTTAAAGAAGAGGTAATTGTTCCCTCCACCATCTTCAATGAAACAAGCTAAATACACCCAGTCAGTGACGCAATCGCCTTCGCATCAAATGTATAGTTACTCTGGGACAGCCAACTTCTCCTATATCACCACAACCTCCCAGTGCTATAACCACTCCTTGCTCTATTCCCTTCTTGGCTTCCTTTCTTCTGTTCAGCCGTCATTTCCCTCCCCAGTTCTCTTTTCAGCACTCTCCCATGATACTACTGAGACAATATAGGCATCTCTCCTACACAGCGCCTCCCTCCAACATGTATATTTCTTTATGCCCTGGAGCATTAATGTTCCCTTGCAGACAGCCATTTTGAGACCAGAAGTTTGGCAACAAGGCCATTTGAAACACATTTAAAAAAACATTTAACTATGTTGTCAGATTGAGAAAATAGCAGGCACTAAAATAATTTATATTACAATTTTTGAGATTTGAAACCATTTTCCCATTTCTTCTGCTATTCTTATCTGCTCTTAGCAAAAAAAAAAAAAAACAAAAAACAAAAAAACCTGGGAAATCCTTGGAGGTTCCTCCAAGAAAAAGTTATCTGGGAAATGGTGATCCTGCAAGATACACTTTCCAGGGTTGGTGGCCTTCCTGACAGCTGCTGGGACGCAACGCAGTCCAGCGAAGTGCTGTTAGCCAAGCCATGGTAGCATAAGGCTTCTCCAGCAAGCAGCTGCCAGATGACGGCCAGAAGCCCAGGAGAAGAGCTGCGGCTCAGCACCGAGGCCTTCCTGGACCAGTGGGGTAGCCCAAGGGGAAGGTTTTTCAGCGTGAAATGGGATCTTACTTGCAGGTCTACCTCCGTGGATAAGGCCTGCACAGATGTTTGGGCTGACATGGTAAAAGGAAGGAAGAAAAAAGGGCTGGGGAGGGCATCACGCTCGGCCCTGGAGAGCTGAGCCGGGCTGTTATTCCCCCGGCTGTGAAGCCGAGGCCTCCGCGAGCTCTCCAGGCCCCTAGACGCGGCGGCAGCGGGCCACGTTTCCAACCCTGAAGGGCCGCTCTTGAGGCAGTACATCCGCCCGCACTGACACACGCCTGCGCGCCCGGCACTGCCCAGCTGCGGTGATCCGCCGCCCGCGCACTTCCAAACAACAGGGGGCGCTCTTGCCGGCCGCACCGTCACAGGCGGCAGCCCTCCCGCCCCGCGCACGCGCCCCGTCGTCCCGTGCCGGAAACGGAAGCGGTCGGCGCCAGCCCCGGTAGCGAGAGCCGCTGACTGCTGTCTCTCCGTTGTTGCCGCTGCGCGTCCCCCGCCCATCCGTGTGATGGCGGCCACGGCGCTTCCCCCGCTGCCGCCGCAGTTCAAGAGCATCCAGCACCATCTGCGAACCGCGCAGGAGCTGGACAAGCGCGAGCCGGTGGTGGCGTATTACTGTGAGTGAGGCGGCCGCAGCGCCGCCCCTCCGCCCCCCCGCCCCCGAGCTGGACTGGGCCCGGCCCGGCCCCCAGCATCCCGGCCTGTGCCGAGGTTGGGTGCAGTCCACCGCCACCCGCACCCCTCTGCCCCAGGTCCTTTTCCGTCGTTCCCTCTGTCTCGCTGGGTTCCGCAGAGAGCCCGTGGGATGTACGCAGAAGAGGGTAGGGGGGAGAAGCCCCACCTCTCTGGGCGGTGCGGGGCGATCACCGTCTCCCGCTTCAGCCGCGAGCCCTAGCTCGCTTTTCATGTATTCTGCTCTGTTTTTATAGTTAAGCCTCTTGGCAGTCTTTGAGGTTATGCCAGAAGCCTGAGTACATAGTTGTACGCGCAAGTTCTCTGTCTCTGTTAGGACAGTCTTAAGAACATTCTTTTCAGAGAGTAGGTGGTGCTTTTTTGTTGTTGTTTGTTTCATGGAAAGGAACACAGCAGAATCTTACAGTAACGCTTCAAAATCAGTATGTAGATGTTTCAAGCTAACATGGCTTCTAAGCTAACGGTCGTTAGTGTGGTTTTGTAAGCCTTTGTAAAAGGCTTTCCCCAGCAGATTAAGAAATGCAAGTGTTTTCTTAGTAGTCTTAAATTTCTGTCACAGTTAATCACAACACTTGGAAAAAATCGTAAGAGTAGGAGCTCACCAGAAATGTTTGT